TAGTCGAGCAAGGCCCAATGAATGCTCGGAACGCTGCAAGAGATGACCGTCGCTTTTACCAGGGACATAGGCGGAGAAAGGAGAGAGACGGAGAGAGAAGAGAGAGGGAGAGAGAAGGAGAGAGGAGAGGACAGAAAGAGAGTAGGCGGCATAAACGAACGACATAGGGGTGAGAGCGAAGAACAGAGGACAAACTGAACCTGAGATCGGAGGGAGCGAGAGACAGGGGAGAGAGAAAAAGGGAAAGTGGATAGAAAAACGGGAGACAGAACATACGCGAGGAAAGACCAAAAGCGTACAGCGAAAGAACAGAGGCAAAGAGAGACTCAAAATGGGCATGGGCCAGATAGAGGCAGCGGGAGGTGGAAGAGAGGGAGAGGGAGGAGAAGGAGAGGGAAGAGAGGGAGGGGGAAGAGAGGGAGGGAGAGGAGAGGGAGTGGGAAGAGAGAGGGGGAGGGGGGAGGGAGGAGAAAGAGGGGGAAGAGAGGGAGGGAGAGGATGGGACGCGAAGCACTGCAAAAAGGTCAAAGCACCGTGGGAAGAGAGACGGGGAGGGGGAGGAGAGGGAGGGGGGAGGGAAAGATAGAGAAAGAAAGAGAATAGGGAAGAGAAAGTGAAATATAGCCAGAAGAAAAGAAGGGAGAGGAGAGACAGTGAGAGCATCAAAGTCTACCAACACAATCAGTCCAAGAAACGCGATGAAAGGTCACCTACTGGGATCAAGATACTGACGGTATCCGAGTCACGGAAGCATGGATGATTGTTAGCATTGATTGATTGACAAAAACAAAATGTTGATCCAGATTGATTGACTAAGTTTGATTAAGTTTGGGGGGATGAGTGATTAAGTTAAATCCCTTGCTTTTCAGGGCAAACCCACGCGTTGATTTTCTCGATTGATGACAGACGCAAATGAGGTAAAAAATGCACCCGAGATAATCCTGACGCCAATACGACCTTTGTGAAAAACCGCTGCGCAGAAGCGCAGTAACCAACTTCCCGCGCCGCCTCGCAGCACAAAAAAGGAAGACAAAAATGAGCAGAGGGAAAAAGCAAGGTGAGGTAGTGACTAAGAGAAGCTCCGGCACAAAACGTGGCGGGGGATAGGAGAGGGAGCAAGAGAGAGAGGGAGATAAGGAGAGGGAAAGAAAGAGGGAGAGAAAGAGGGAGAGGAAGA